CCAACCAGATCCAACCAGAACCAACCAGATCCAACCAGAACCAACCAGAACCAACCAGATCCAACCAGATCCAACCAGAACCAACCAGATCCAACCAGAACCAACCAGAACCAACCAGATCCAACCAGATCCAATCAGATCCAACCAGAACCAATCAGATCCAACCAGAACCAATCAGTCCGGTTTGAATCTTAGCCCATCCAATAGGAAGGAGGAACATTTCTCCAGTGGGACACGGAATAAAATCCTCAATAATCATTCTTAAAATTATTTTATTTTGAAAATTGAAGATTCTAAAAACAGATCAAAGATTCTCATTGGTTGAAAAAACAAAACAAGATTTTAGTTTTCAAAACACAAACATGAATTTAAAGAAAATTAAAACCAAAATGATGATTAGAAATCTCTCATTATCCTCATTATTATTATTTCTCCAAATGTTTTCTGTCAAAATGGATCTAAATCTTCATCAGTGAAGATGAGGATGAGGTTTTCATACAGGAAAGTTTTTATTGTTTTGAACAGAAATCATTTAATCAGGGGCCAAACCGACCACAGGAGCAGGTAAAACCCACCTGCATCCTTCCCAGCAGGCAGCGGTTCTGCTGACGTCAGCAGCAGCTCGGTGGTTCCGGTTCTGACCGCTTCCATGGACCCCAGCGCCTCCTTCTCCAGCTCTAAGAAGGTTCTCTCCACCGCCCCGAATATCTCCTCCGCCGCGGCGCTCAGCCGCTCCCTGACGAACTCCTGCAGCTGCTCCATTTTGGACCGACACCGAGACGGAACCCAGCTCTCCACTCCGGCCATTGCAGCAGCGTCCACGTCCACCAGAGGGCGCACTACTGACTTCATCCTGAGCGGTTTGAGGAAGAACTGGTGGGAGTTACTGCCCCCTGCTGGATTGGAGGTTAAAATCAGAGGAAAGTTCCTGTAGCAGCTTCCCAAGGAAGCAAATAAGGGTGAAAAATTTCATTCTATATCCAGCTGGTTTTTTAAACACAGATAAGAGTATTTGTAACCTATAGACCATCAGAAAGAAAATTAAAAAAAAGCAAAACGCTACTTTTTAAAAACCACACGAACATTTTTTATTTTACATGTTTGGCATGTTTTTGATAGGAACTGATCAAAACATGATGAGGGTGTGTGGTAATGAGTCAGAAGGTCAGAGGTCATCAGATGACAGGGGAGGGCAGCAGGAGGACATGTTGGTAATGGATAGGATGAAGATGCTGACATGCATAGTGGTTAGCAGGTGGTCTGAGATGCAGGTCAGGCGGATGATCTACGGAGAGGCTGGAGGAGAACGTTGTGCTGAGATTCAGAGACAGAGATCAAGATTTGTTGCTGAGGGAACAAGTGATGAGCAGAGCCAGATTCAGGTGGTGTTGCTTTGCGATGGACTCCGAGGACCAGCAAAGTAGATGGAGGTTGGACAGATTCCCACGCCACTTATTGGGACAATAGAGGGAGGACGTTGGGTTGGGACAGGACCAAACAGAAGGCAAAGGGTTAGGTGACATGTAATTATTCTATTCAATTAATTTCTATAGCACCAATTCACAACACAAGTCTCAAGACACTTTCCAGTTCAACCAGATCATCCAGTCAGATTGATTGAAAGTTTTCTGTCTAAGTAAAACCAGTTTATTGCATCGACTGCATCCATAACAATATCCGCCTGACATTCGATCTACTAGACTACAATCATTTAATTGAAGATAAAAGTTTTATTTTATTTTTAGATTTATTTAAAGCCTTTGATACCATTGAACACAAATTCATGTTCCGCACCTTAGAATTATTTGGCTTTGGATCAAAATTTTTAAATTTTAAATAAACAGTGTTATCTCACTGCCGCATGGCATCTCTTCTAGAATCTCTATTAATAAAGGCATTAAACAGGGATGTCCTATTTCTGCTTTACGCTGCAGCAGAGATGTTATCCATCCTTATTAAAAAGGCAGATTTTGAGAAACTCAGTGTTTCAGGCAATAAAATCGCCATAACCCAACTAGCCGATGATACGGCCGTATTCATGAAAAACAGCAATCAAATACCAAAAATCCTCCAATCAATAGAAGAAAATAGTTTTACTCCAAGGCTTCTGGTCTGAGATTAAACTTAAAAAAAATGTGAAATGTTAGCGATACACGACTCGTCCCAGACGACCATTTATAACATCCCTGTTAAATCTTTTGTGAAATATTTTCACATCACCAAAGATAATAAATCACTGGAAAAACTAAAGTGTTGGAATATTTTAGATAAACATCAATTTTTGGTCGAACTTTCCTTACAAAAATGGAATGTCTTTCAAGATTTATCTATCCAGCTTATTCCATATCCCTTCCTAAACCTGCAATTAAAGCTATAAATTAACTTCAACTTTATCTGGAAAAACAAGACGCACTACATTAGAAAGGAGCAAAGGTTAAAGAGTATAATGATGGAGGTCTTAAAGCGATAGATTTTGAATGTTTAGACGGAATGATTAAAATGAATTGGCTCAAATTTTTTCTGAAAAATGAAAATAGTTTTTGGTTTCATATCACCTCTAAATTATTTATAGAATTAGGAGGAATTAACTTCCTCCTTTAGGATTTTGATCCTAAGAAACTTCCTGTTAAACTTTCTTCTTTTCATCAACGCGTCTTACTTTATTGGAAACTAATATTTAAGCATAATTTTAGTCGTCATAACACCCCACTATGGAACTCCCGATATGTCCTATTCAGGAACAAGTCTTTATTTTCCAGGCGCTCTAGAAAGTGGTATATGGTCGATAACGCACATTCTTGATGACAAAGGGAATTTTTTACCTTTTGAAACTCTTTGCTCAAAATTCAAAATAAATAACAGAAAACAATATAATATATTAATCACAGCCCTTCCTCAGCCTCTGATCATAATGTCATCCAACCTGCTGCTAAACCATGTCCAGGTAAAACTTCCCTCTCTGTTACTCAACGGTCAGTCTGTTATTGATAAAAAGCTGACCAACAATGTCAGACGTAGTTTGTTTGTCAAGGAATTTCATCCCGATTCATCCCACAGAAACCTAATCTCCAAGCATTTTCCAAAAGAGAAAGTGGGAAAACTGCGGAATAAATATCTACAGTTTCCTGTTGCTCCAAAGGTTAAAGTCCATTTCAAAATAATCACTGACATTTATCCTTCCAAGGAATTTCTGAGGCTCCGTTTTGGTTTTTGAAGAAAATGATTGCACCTTCTGTGAATGTGAAACTGAGACTGTTGGTCGCCTCTTTTTCGACTGTCTGTACGTGGAAGCTTTCTGGGAAGATTTCTGCTTCTGGAGTTCATCTAAAATTGATTCTCCTTCTCATCTGGACGAAGAGAATGTTTTGTTTGGAATAGAAATGACAGATAACCTGCAGGCCTTTAATGTTTTACTCATGATGGGGACATTTTTCATTCACAAATACATGAGGACCAAGCCAAACTTCAATGTCTTTCTTAACCTCTTACACCCTAAGGAGGTATAAATAAATTTCTGCCTGACAAAAACACACAAAAGTAAATAACTTATAGCCTCAAAGCTATTAGATTTAAGAAGAAACTTTTGGTACGTCTGTAAAGGTAA